CAGTGCATCCGTGCTCAGAGTGGCCAAGGATCTAGCCGAAAACAACAAGAGCAGTCGAGTGCTGGCAGTCGCGAGCGAGGTGACCGCAGTCACATACCGAGCCCCGAGCGAGAACCACTTGGACGGGCTTGTGGGCTCAGCTCTGTTCGGCGATGACGCCGACGTGCACGTGGTTGGATCCGACCCCAAGCCTGAGGTAGAGAAGCCATTGTTCGAAGTGCACTGGGCTGGAGAGACCATCTTACCAGAGAGTGGCGGCGCCATCGATGGACATCTCACCGAAGCAGGGCTCATCTTCCACCTCATGAAGGATGAACCCGTGCTCATCTTCAAGAATATCGAGAGGTTTTAGAACGAGGCCAGGAAGCCAGTGGGATCTCCCGCATGGAACGAGATGTTCTGAGCAGTGCATCTCGGAGGTTCAGCCATTCTCGATCAGGTGGAGGCGAAGTTGCAGCTGACCAAGGACAAGATGCAAGGGAACAGGGACATATTATTCGAGTTTGGCAACACATCCAGCGCCTTAATGTTGTTTGTATTGGATCAGATTCGGCGTAGATCTGTGGAGATGCGTGTGTCCACCATGGGCGAGGGCAGCAAGTTCGGATTTCTCATTGGTTTCGGACCAGGAGTGGTACTGGATGTGCTTGTGCTCCGCGTCGCTGCCAACTCCGCCTAGATTCTCTCCACCTCACCTCTCCTTTTTACTTCCCCTTGTCCCCAATTTGTAGCATATCGTAAGATATGTCAAATGCTTTGAACGAAAAGGAATTAGTGTTGAATGAGCTGGAAGAGGAGAAAACAACGTAACATATGTTGTAACATATTCTGTGGAGAGTACTATTCTCATTATTCATTATACAATCAAGAATTGGTATTTACGGTACAGGATAACCTGTTCACCAACTTGGCTACGATATTGCCTGCTCTGACAATATCATCTTCGGTTCACAAAGAATTTGATTGGCAGATCTTCTTAGTAACTACATATTTTCTCGTGTTGTAGTGTGCTGAGGTAGGTTCTTGTTCACTCTCAGGTGTCACAGTCGATGAGTAATTGTTAGCAACGTTCTTGTTTATATCGTACGTATAGTTCAATGTTTCATTTAGGTGCTCAACACAGGAGGCCTCATCTTCACTTAAGGGATGCACTTGACTTTGTCTAAAAACAGAATAAAAGCTGCCTACTCGGAATTTGCTACATAAAATTTTTTAGATTCGTGGATATTTGCCAACATCAAGTCATATCTAATCTGAATAGAGTTCAGAAACGAATGTGAGTGATTTGTTTGTTGAGAGCTCTAGCGGGTCGCTCGTCCCTGGTTTTCCGGATTGGTTAATTGGAGATATCAATATGCCCTACAGGGTACTGTCGAGATGATTTGCAATTTCTATAGTGTGCTATATTCATCTACAACATCCAAAAAAATTGGTTGACAAATTGCAAATGTCGTCCTACTATGAATTCCCCAAAAACCTATAATCATAATTAAATTCCGGGACCCCACTACATCCATTAAGTCACCTACAAACTGCCCAACCGAGCATGATTGCAAATGCAAGGCTCCTTCAGTAACGGTAGTGAGCGGGCTTGTATGGGCCTCCCACCGGCACGTTGATGTACGAGGCCTGATCCTCGCTCAACTTCGTCAGCCTGGCGCCCAGCTTCTCCAAATGCAACAGAGCGACCTTCTCGTCCAAGTGCTTCGGCAACACGTACACCTTCTTCTCGTACTTGCCGCTCTTCTTCTCGTTCCACAGCTCCAGCTGCGCGATCACCTGATTCGTGAATGAGCACGACATCACGAAGCTCGGGTGGCCGGTAGCGCATCCCAGGTTCATCAGACGCCCCTCCGCCAAGATGATCACGCCCCTCTTGGTGTCCGGGAACACCCACCTGTCCGTCTGCGGCTTGATGGTAATCCTCTTCACCCCGGGATACGTCTCCAGCCCCTCCATGTCGATCTCGTTGTCGAAGTGCCCAATGTTGCACACGATGGCGTTGTTCTTCATCTTCCTCATGTCGCTCACCATGATGATGTCCTTGTTACCCGTCGTCGTGCAGAAGATGTCGGCGTACTCCACGCAGTCCTCCAACCTCAGCACCTGGTACCCCTCCATGAGGGCCTGCAGAGCGCAGATGGGATCGATCTCCGTCACGATCACACGCGCTCCCGCGGCCTTCATGGCGCTCGCGCATCCCTTCCCGACATCACCGTAACCGAAGATCACAGCAACCTTCCCGGCGATCATCACATCCGTCGCCCTCATCAGCCCGTCGGGCAGCGAGTGCCGGCAACCGTACAGATTGTCGAACTGCACAGCGACCCAAACGTCAGCACCCGACACCACACACTCCCCCTCCCTCCTACCGTTCCACGGCCCCCCCACCCCCCACACACGCGTCCACAACAACACTTACGGAATCTGCCACCCACGGGTCACATTACCTTGCTCTTCGTCACAGAGTCGTTCACATTGATGGCAGGGAACAACAGGCTTCCGTTGTCCATCATCTGGTACAGCCGCTTCACTCCCGTCGTCGTCTCCTCCGACACACCCACCAACCTTTCCGCCATCTTGTGGTACTTGTTGGGGTTCTCCTTCATGCCGTCCCTGCGCAAACAGGAGCCACCGTCTCAGCACAACCAACGCCGCCGCCACCAACGACAACCGCCCCCGGATTCCTCCCCCATCTCCACCAAAACCCCGCACGGCCTACCATCCACTCCTTCAACGCGGCCGGGGCCGATGCCAGATATCGGCCCACGCCCCGCCCCACCATCACTAAACCCCCTCGCAAACCCCCCGACAACCACCCACAAATAATAAAATAAAAAAACCCCACCACTCACCCCACCGCACCACATCCCATTCCATCCCTCGCTCACCTCAAGATTGTCAACACGATCTTGAACTCGGCGTTCGTCGTCGACTCGGGGTCGGGCAGCGTGCCATCCTTCGCGTACACATCCTCGGCCTTCACACCCTCGTGAATCAACAATGTCGCGTCACCGCCGTCATCCACGATCAGATCTGGGCCTCCGTCCGGACCCCAGTCCAAAGCCCTCTCCGTGCACCACCAATACTCCTGCAGTGTCTCCCCCTTCCATGCGAACACCGCCGCGCTGTCGCGTGCGATAGCGGCGGCAGCGTGGTCCTGGGTAGAAAAGATGTTGCAAGAGCACCATCTCACCTCCGCGCCCAGAGCCGTCAATGTCTCGATGAGCACCGCAGTCTGGATGGTCATGTGCAGGGACCCCGTGATCTTGGCGCCCTTGAATGGCTGCGCGGCTCCGAACTCCGTGCGACACGACATGAGCCCGGGCATCTCAACCTCCGCAAGATCCAGCTCCAGACGCCCGAAGTCGGCCTGGGACATGTCCCGCACCTTGTACTCGCGCCCGGAGGCGGTCTTCTCCACGGACAGCTCCATATCTGCAAATGGGCGAGGCACCAACAGCACAACCTCCTTCCTCAACGCAACCCGAAGAGAGGGCAACGAAACTGCTGCTGCGGATGCCGCAACCCAACCGTGCAGAAATGGGTAGAACGAAAGGGAGCAAGAGACAGAGGAGGGCACGGAGCAAATGGTGGTCCTCGAGGACTTCTTATAAAGTCCCACATATGCGTTCACACAGTTGGTTGAATGCTTGGGTACGTGTTCATCTGGTCTAAGATTATTACCTTTCATAAGTTATCTTTAAAATATAGTATCATATATTGTGCCTACATGGGTGCTTTGAGAACCTTTAAGGATGGAGTTTGCGAGATGAAATGAATATCAAGAATTACATCCATCAGAGAAGTGGTTATTGCTATAAATGTATTGCTTGTGATTCCAGTGTGTGTGTTTTTATTTATTTAGGCAGTGTGTAATGTTTAGCATTTGTTAAGCCAGTTGTTTCACTGAGCAGGAAGATAGGAGCATCACTGTGAATGTTGGTACAAAACATGGAGGCACCTCTTGAGTATAGGTGAGAGAGGCGTAATATTTAAAGATTGGAGATGTACCACAGTAGGCAGAGCAGAATTAGCTAAATAAGTATAGAGTTACTGGATAGTAGAACCTTGGGATAGAATAATATTGGACCAAAGATCATGTAATTCCAAATTTTGGTAATAAACTAGCTCATGTACGGTAGACATCTTTCTTTATCTTGTGGACCTTTTTAGTGATACACATCCTTACATACACACCTTTGCAAGAAATAACTAGTTTTGATTTTAAATCATAATTCTTATTATATATATATATATTTTTTCCTAATAAATATTTTTTACGTTTATTTTTTGAAAATAAAAAATTAAAAGATTGTATTTTATTATTGCAATTATATATTAATGTCAACTATATATATATATATATATATATATATTCAAAATTATTTATTTTTTGTGGAGGTGTGTATGTGAGAAACTTTGGCATGGTGGGAAATTATAGCTTCTAAAATCAAATTGTTGTAGAAACAAGACTGAAGATGTCACACACTAATCAATTTAACTTTAGGGGTCGTATATGTGTATATATATATATATATATATATATTTGCAATTTTAGATTAGCAATCACAGTCTTTGCTTGTTGTAAAACTATAGAAACAAATGATTTGTCTTACTGCCCTCTAAACTTTATTGTTCCATAAATATCAACACGTAATTGATTTTGACACTATCCTGCAAATCAAAGTTGTAAACTTGCCTCTTTTTTTTATAATTTATTTAATGGAAAAATGATCACAAAAATATATCCATATCTCAGAGACTATATATCTATATACAACAAAAATTTCTTTAAAAAATATTTACAAGCAAAAAATACGAAAAATGGTTTCTTTTGAGATGGCTTGTTGATGCGGATCCTTCTATTTACTCCTATCTCCTTTCAGCAATGCTTTAACCCATCCATATTCAATCATTGGTCCATTTATCATCCATAAGTTGACATTCATTTCAAAATTGACACAGGCAAAATTGACATTGGCTTATCATTTGCTGCATTGAATTCTCAACAGAAAAATCAGTCTAGAATCAATTAAATAATCAATAAATAATGCAACATTGGATGAATTGATCTTAAGTTTAGACCATAGCAAGTAATGCTAGCATGAATTTTCCCAAGGAACTGGAAAACTTTACGAAGTGTCGGCGCCCACATGGCAGATGTGGGTACAAGTTTGCACATCGAAGGGGGCGAATCTAAACAAGGGCTAAAATCTAAACACAACTAGTATCAGTGCCAACCGAGAACATTGTCCAAAACAGCAACACCGGCGATGGCCAAAGGGTACAAAGCCAGCACCGGCAAAGCAAACCAGGAGGGAAATGTGCTCCTCGTGCCCCCCATCATCCCCACCGCAAATGTACACAACACTATTACAGTCACCTGCAAGAGAATTCCATCCATGTCATGAGCTTTGCACATCGGTATAACACACGAAATACAGCTAGTTTCACATGATTTGTTTGATCCAGAATGTTGTTAGTCATTGCACATACCTCGCTTGAGAAGTCCCAAGTTAATCCACGGATGTACACAAGCGCTAAAAATATTGCCATGCAGCTGAGAACCACCAAAAGAGTAACAGTGAGCATCAAAGAGATGGGTTTAAACATCTGGAGCTGACAAACTCAGGGACCCAAAATATGGGGTGGAGAAGAGGAAGAGAAGCAGAGAGCAGATGCCTTACAGAGTGTTATTCATGGTGATGGCGCCATAAACTTGCGAAAACGTGAGGGATATGTTCCGTTTGCGTCGCCTCTTGGCAAAGATGATGCTTGACACAAGCTCACTGGCATTGGAGGCAAAGGGAGTGACGACGAAGGCGACAAAGAAGGGAGGGATCTTAGAAGCGGCTGAGAAGTTGCCAATGGTGTCCACCATTGGGTCTGCAAACGTCGCGGCTACTGCTGCTCCAGCGAGCATAAGAAGCGCAGCTTTTTTGTAAATCTGTGGAGGATCTAACTCATCAGACTCTCCTTCCCCTTCGCCTGATTCTTCATCGGATTGTTCGACCTCGGCCTCCAGAAGCTCCAACACCTGCTCATACAATGGCATTGCGATGAGAGTTTGAAGGACTTCGAAATCTCCTCCATCCAGTAGCTCGAGACAAATGCATCGGAAGGATGAGAGCGCACACGCCGTTCGACACGAGGGATTGTCATAGGATGTGGATGCTTACTGTTTTCGCCTCATCCGATTTTGCGGCCCAGAAATTAGAGTCCCGTATGCTCACTGCACTTGCCCTTTGAGCTTGAAGAGACAATTTGTCTTGAGCAACTCGCTTAGACCACTTCTTGATGCCGGTTAAAAACTCGTGCTCCGAAATTGTGCCATCCACGTCGAGGTCGAACTCTCGCATCCATGTCTCCACTTGATCCTCTGCAGGCACAAAGCCAGCCTCCTCAAGTCCAATACCGACAATCAGCCCCCTCAGTTCCTCCTGCTGAATTTTGCCATCTTTATTGTGGTCGAAGGAACTGAACAGGTTCTTCACAGTCTCCACCAAGTGGCCATGCTTCTCATCCTGTGCAGATGGAAACGGCAAAGGAATTCCTTGAAAATCTCACATCCAGATGAGTTCCTAATCTCCACAAAAGTGCTTGTGTAATTAAGAACAGAATGCATCTGTTACGGTATTTAAAGCATTGAAAAAAAAATTTATTCAACATACCTGAGACAGGATTTTGGACCGGGAACTAGACATCAGTGGATACGATGCAACACGCTGTAATGCTCGAGAGCGGAAATACTGCAACCGGGCCTCCTCAATCTGCTTCTGTTGCAGCCATGGTGATGCCACCTGATCTCCGAATCCCGACAACCCCAGCCCACTTGCTCAGAATCACTCAACCAAAAATATTATTCTACCCTTGTCCTCACAAGAGCGACTTAAAAGTGCCTGTAATATTTGTCATATGTCAGGAAAGCGGAGCACACTCACTTGGTACGCACTGTACAACAACAGACCAGCGCTAGCAACGATGCAGCCTTCAAGCGCTCCCTTCGGACCGTCTATCAAATGGTTCGGCAACAGCGGCAATTGCACAAACAAATAGGGAAGCGTAGACGCCATCATTATCCATGCTCCCACCCTGAAATGTGCCACAAGCAGAGACCGTCAACCCTAAAACACTGCGAGAAACTGAAACGAGTCTTAGATGCGAAAGATCTGTCACAGAACGTGGCAAGGTACACATGACCTGGACTGCAGCAGCCAATTGTGACCAAGAGCTGTGAGAGGATTGTGGATACCGAGTTTGCTCATCAGTTGTAACACCAGTGCCAAATGGATCGAGCGGGCGTGTAAGGGTAAGATCAGTGGCCGTTCCATTGGGACCATCAAGATCGCAGCGTCCCGCAAGTAGCGATCCTGCCCATGCGATAGTGAGGAGCATAACGCTTGACCCTGCCAGCACTCCCACCCCTACCATCACCTCCTCTTGTGCCTGCAAATATCGATACTTCGAAATCCTTCAATAGATTCCACGTCTACATAATATCCTTCACAGACAATCCAACCTTTGCTGTGATCGAAATCCAATAATCAAACAGGGAATGGTCAAGACGTAACCTGCTGGACGGATCCACCCACGCCAGAAACAAGAATGAGAATGGAGTCTGGAAATGCTCCCAGGATGGGAAGCAAAAGTCCTCCTAACAGCCCAGGATTCATAACCTCGAGCAGAAGCTCGCTGCCATCGGAAATCAACTTGGCTGCTGTGAAGAGCAGGTAACCATATGCTAGCATCAGGAACACGTTGCCACCAATGCTCGTGGAGCATGGCAGGACACCATAAGTCTCCTCGCAAACGCCTCCGCTCTCGGCAACTTGATAAAGCTCATTAGAATTTGACGCTATCGTCCAAGTTTGCGTGGGGATCTCAGTTCGGATGCTGTCGAGCTGCGGGTGCGCTTGCACGTCTGTAACTGCCAGCTGAAGCGACGCGGCACAGGAGATTAGAGCAATGGCTAGTGACCTCATCCAGGACGATGGCGCTGGGTGACCATCTCTTCCTTCACCGACATTTTTAAACTCCGGATTCTGAAGTTGTGGCTGCAATGTTGAGAGGTCACGCCTGCAGTAGGTCTGTTCATACCAGACCATCAAGTCAGTAGGCACTCGAGCTGTTGACAACAATCGTAGTAGAGGATCGTGACCAGAAAATGCGATGATAATTTTATAACGTACTTGGCCATTGAGAGAAGTAGAAGCTGGAGAAGCCTCACAGCTGCTAACCCTCCACGAACACCTGCAGACAATAATTGGTTGACATACTTTGCATTCAATGCGAATCTCCTCAAATCCAAGACAAACGAACGAGTTTTTTCGGTTCGTCAATTAAGTTATTCTCTGGGCATCTCAATCAGCAGTGAATTATTTACCCAATTCTAGTTCCCACGTAATTCTCCAAGACTCCACCATCAGAATTCTACCAAGAGGACCCCGAAATTAGACAAATTGCAAGCACGAAACCCATTGCCACATCTGCGACTGCGACGTGAAAAAGCATCCTGCAATCAACCATGCCAGCATCCCCCAAACGAACAGCTGCATTTCCACTTCCACGATCACTCCGCTCAAATTCCGAGCTCTAAGTCAAAAACACCAAACCACCCAGTTGATGGCGACATTGAAATTCACCTCTTCTGTGGATGACCTCCTCCGCTCGCACCCTGGAAGCTGGACCTGGACCTCCAAGCGCTCAATTGGGTACACGGAAATTCCAAGGGACGTCGCATCTGAATCATGCGCAATGATCTATCGGCGACCCAAGTCTCCGTTCCGGCTGGCAATCCCAGTGCCATGCTATTCAGCATTGGCAATCTCACACTCTCTCCACTCTGCTACCTCACTACTAACAGCATATTTGCGAGAGATGAAATGAGAGGGCGAGGGCGGGGGCGAGGGCAGAGTGGAGAGATTGTTAGCTAGTTCCTCGATTTCGGTGTAAGTTTCACGTGGGTGAGAAGATGTGTGCATTCTTCATCGAAGGCTTGGCAAAACGCTCACGGCATTGCGCTATCTGCCTGCTTCTGGCCTAAAACCTCGCCGAAAGCACGCTGGCCGAGTCGTCAAACTATTCATCCATTGAATGAAAAGTGAATGAATGATTCCATCGCATGGTGGGTCTCGTTCACATTGGAGATAGTTCTGATGAGGTTTTCGTTCTATTTTAAGATATTTTGTGTTGATGCTATTCATTCAATTGATTCTTGTTGAAAGGTAGTTAATTGGTGATAGGGAAAGTGATTGGTTGATTGCAACAAGAATTTTATCAAGTATAACACATTTATTTTTTATAATTTGTAAATGTACTTTTTAATTTTAAAATAAATAAATAAATAAATAAATAAACATGATTTATATCCAAAAGATTCAAGAATAAATGAAAATGATAATAACATGCAAGTTGGAGTTACATAAATTGATTTTGGGCTTGGCCAACATTGTTGCCAATGGCTAATTAGGGTGCCTCGGTTTCAAAATGAGTTTCACTACAACTTGTTAATTGGCCCCATCAAGTCCAACCTTGACAAAATGAAGCATTTTCTTGGTAGCATGTTGTAGGAACTCTTCTATCCTACCGGAGTTGAGGCTTGGAGTGAGCCTCAAGGGAGCCAATATGGGACGTGCACGTGCAAGTGATTCCATGTCTAGCTTCTATTGGCTACAAGGCAAGATAGTTGATAGAAGCCATTTATTTTTATTTTTTTTTGTGTTTATTATACATGGAAGGCTTTTCAAAAGAGAGGGGGAGTTTGGGGAGTAGAATCTCCAATGAACCAATATAGGGCAAGCATGTGGCATCGAGCTTGGCTTCTATTAGAGATTGCCGTAGCCAATCCATTATGTGCCTACAACATCCACTTGTGAGTCATCTCTATTAGCACCAACAAGTAGCAATGCTTTTAGTTCTTAGGGCCTCTTTCTATACTTAATTGGTGGAAAAAAATTGTTGTTAAAATACAAATTCATTCCTTGATTATTTGACACATCATTAGTTTTAGTAATGAGACCTGTAGCTCATCCTTCACCAATTTTGGGAAGTGGAAAATGTAGGTAGAATAGTCCATTGATAAATTGATGTATTTTTGACTTGCAATAAGAAGCCATTTGGTCTTTATATGACCTCTTATGCAAGATCATATAGTGCTTCACTCTCTTACACATGGAAGTGCAAATTTTGAAATTAGGTGGATTTTACCTTGCAAAATTCATTAGATGTAGACAAATTCCAAGAATAACATTACCCACCTATACAACATGAAAGGAGGTCCTTAGTGTATGTGTGTTTTAATAAAAAAATAGTATTTTAAAATAGCTATAGATGTATGACATCTATTAATGATTTATATTATTTATCAAAAAAATATTTTAAGAATAACTTGCAATGGTTTGACTTACAATAGTTAGATTTATTTTTTGATGATCAAAACATTATTTTGTTATTTACCAAAAAAATATTTTAAGAATAACTTGCAATGGTTCGACTTACAATAGTTAGATTTATTTTTTGATGATCAAAACATTATTTTGTTATCATGAAGTATCCAAAAATATTCTCAATGTTTTTTTTAATTAATCATTCATTATAATACTATATTCTATTTATACAAGATTGTCTTCAATATCAAGTTAAATTCTATCAAGGTTTTATAGTTGTGCTAGAAGTTTTAATGTTTTGTATTAAATATTTACAGGTAATGTTTTAGAATAATGATATATCAATTGACAAAAAAATTTATTGTAGTAATGAAACAATTTGAAATAGCCAATCATATTGTTTCATTAGTTCTAGAATCATTTCAATTATAAATTTATACCAACATTGAGTCCCTTGTTATGCTTTTATAGTAACATATTAAAATAAGCTATTGATGTAAAATACAATAGTAAGTCACAATCCAAATGATGTGCCGTGAATTATAAAAATATATTTCATCACCTACATAAAAAAATAATATTAAGAAACTACACATATTTAAAAGCATAAGTTTAATAGATCTTAAAAAATAAAACATTGCATACACAAATGGAAGAAAAAGAAGAATAAAAAAGAATTTCAATAATCAAAATAAAACTACACCATAGCTTATGATTTTGGTTTGTGACATATTTATAAGGTATATAAAGAAAATTGTAATTTATTTCTAAAAATATTATATACTATTTTTTTGATTCACCAAAATTATTAATTAATCATCCATAATTTTTGTACCTCATTTTTTTCTATCATAACTAATATTTCCTATATATACATATATGTATATGTATAGTTTTTATTTAGTAAGTTTTCTTTTAGTATATTATGTATTTGTTAGCTTTAAAAACTAATTGGTATCTTAATGTACATTTTAAAAAAATTAAAAATCATTGCTACAAGATTTAAATAAATAATTAATTCAAAAGTAAAATGCACATTGAACTATTTCACAAAATAAGAAAAAAAAAATTAATGATTTTTTTTCATAAAAGCTAATCAATTAATAGGAAAAGACTATTTCTACTGCATGTGATTTCTTTCACCATTCATAATGTATTAAGTACAAAGATAATCTAGCAATATGTATGTACGTATAGTAGTTGTATATATGAATGTTTATATGTTATATTACATAATATTGAAATTTTGTAAAAAGAATTTGGTTTCATGGTGCTCTTTACATTTTCTTAGAGAGCGTTGATAAACTGGGACTTACAAATCGTATTCTAGCAACACACAAAACTCTTTCATAAGTATCACTATCATCATCTTTTGTTGGTATTTCTGAGTTTCTACATTCCCGTGGATGGTTTTTACTCGAAGTAGTATCGTTCAAAGAACTTGAGTTGCCAGCTTTTTTATTTATAAAATTTTCTGTATTGTTTTCATTTGCATTCTTTGCAGTGTACATTTGATTAGGGGCATTTATCCAAAAACACCCGTCCTTAGCATTGCCTTCCTTCTTACTTTCAAATAAATTATTCGATCCAGAATCGTACATTTTTGAGTAGTTATCTGTTTTTCTATCATCATTGAAAGTGCTGCTACACTTTGCTTTGTTTTTGACACTATTTTTTTCAAAATCTACATCAAATAAACTTGTAGAAATACCTTGATTTGCTAAGAGATGTAAATCATTACTTGATTTTGATAATCTCTTGTAAAAGTTTGGAAAACAAGATGTTGGTGTATGAGAAAGAGAGCTATGTCTTTGGTGCAAATTAACTAAATTTGTACTATTATCATTTCTCTCTTTTCTACCATCATTTTTTTTCCCTAACATACAAGCTTGTCCACTAATTGGGTTACTACTACATGATTGGAGTAATGTATTGTTATAAACAACATCCACATTCTGGATTGAATTGCTCTCTACAGGTAAAATTCTAGAATTTGGAACAAAATTTTGGGTAAATGCTGGTGAAAGAGTTGAATTTATATTACTATTTTCATCTAAAACTTGTTGATTTGTTTGTTCTAATAACTTGGATTTATTGAAATATTCATCTTGACAATCTTTTGCATAATTTGGATTTGAAATGTCATTACGTGTAAAGATTGTATGTTGATTGGGAACATTTTGTGACATGGATTGAAGTTGAGTTTGAAACATTGACAAAAATTCTTTAAAAAATAAAGGAGATTGACATAAATGTGTAGGTGTTTCCTTGTGTGTCCCATTATTTGTTGAATTTGCACATTTAATAGCGTGTTGGTTATCACAATTATGTCTATGAAGATGAGGTGACATCGATTGACCGTGATCAGTTGTTGAAGTTGAATTTCCATTGAATTGATCATCATGGGTTTGAGTATGTAAATTTGCAGTGGGTGTTGTTTTTGGAGGTTCAAAACTAATTTCAGAAGGCTTGAAATTTAATACTGTATGTATTGGTGAATCAACGTCATTTATTCTATCTTGGTATCCGAGATTGATCAAGTTTGTTATATTGGCATCAACAATTTTAAAGTTCAAATTAATAGGTGGCAAACAAGGAATATTAGTTTGAATTTCTTTATCTTCTTCATTTGTTTTTGTGAAAGGCTCAATGTCACAAGGTTTACAATCCTCTTCAATGGTTGTAGAACATGGAACATTACATTTTTTTCCTGCAGTTTTTTCTTGTGAGTCAAATAATGTTTCAACATCATCAACAGTTATTTGACTGATACAATTATGTGATGTATCTTTTATTTTTATTTCTTTGCTCATATGTTTTGATTCAAACACAGTATCAACTTGAACATCATGATTTTGTATGTTGTGTTTAAAATGATCTCTTGTTGATGAACCCAACCATCTATTATGATTGCTATTAGTGGTCCAAGAAGGTTGATAATTTTCAAGTTTTAAATTATTACAATAACTATCATAATTTATCTCATCCTCTCTTTCATAATATTCATCAAAATTAATTTCTATTCCTGTCAAAGAATGTTGAGGTGGTTTAAAATACATATTATTTTTGTTTTTAACATCAATAGTATGATGAGTGTTCTCCGTTGGATGATACTTTTTATGATTCACATGAATTTCTTTGCATGGAATTAAAACATTGTTACTTGACATTCCATTGCATTCTATTTTTTTTGATTTGGGTTCATCCATTTTGGTGGTGTTGATCAAGCAAGGCATGTTTGTTTGATGATTATAAGTTTGTGATTTTGTTGAAAAATCCCTTATGTTGCTTTGGAATAAATTTTCATTTTCAAATGGCATGTATTGATCATTACATGTTATTTCATTATCCAGCACTAAAGGATTCAAACTCCAACTCCTTGTATCAAATGCTGTATGATGTTTATATGGAACTGATTTTCCTAAGGATTCTTTTTCCTCTTCAATATTTCTCTCAAACATAACCTCATTGTCAAGAATAATTTGTTCCCGTTTCTTGTATGCACTTGTCTTTGTTTGATCACTTTCCCACTCAATCTTTGCATTGTCCTTTGAATATTTTTTGAGCATATTTTTAATTTGATGACAAGGTACAGCATGGCTAAAATGATTTGTTTCATAATTTGGATAATTCATTCCTGTAGGTGTGTCATAATGTGTATCTGATGATGATTTTAATGAAGAACTTTCATCATCTGATCCATGATTTGTATAAGTTGAATCACAATCTTGATGGTCATAGAATTGTTGTTTTGAAGTTGGTATTTGATTGTGAACATTGAAACTTTTTTTGTGATGATGTTCAAATGAAGGATTCAAAACCAAACTTGAATTATGTTCATCCACATCAAGTTCCCGAAATGATTTTTTTTGCATTGTAGTGGTGTTTTTGAATTGATTGTGTTTGTGCATTCGTGGCTCATTATGTTGTTGTTTACATTGTTCTTTTAAGCTTGAAAGTTGAGTTCCTTGGTTAACAAATGTTGTATTAGATTTTTGTTGCTCAAAAGGAATATAACTGATATTAGTCTCACTTTGAGAATTCATACAAGGATTATATTTTATATTTTGTATATTTTTATGAAAATTTTGATCAGAAACACATTTCATTCCATGTCTTTTTGAAGCCATTTGTTGGATGTTCAAATTCCTTTTAGCAAGTTCTTCCTTTTGACATCAAATAATGTATTCAAAACTTGCTTTATATTTTTATTATATTTTGAATAAAAAAATATATGTTATCAAATGTTCTATAAATTATCAAAATTTCAAAGTTCAATTCAAAGCTTGGCATCTTTCTTTGATGAGGTTGATTCATCACATGAATAAGTAATATACAATAAAACATTGTTGGATGAGAATATTTTATGATAATGAACTAGAAACTATTATACATAAAATGTACCTTAACTTCAGTGACTTATAAATACATACCTGCTTTTTTGTAGTTTTCTCAAACAATGATCCTATCATTTGGTAGGCTACTTCTCCACAATTAGAATCATTATGAAATAATAATTGTATAGCATGCTTCTTATTTAATCTTTTGTTGAAAAATAAACATTGCAACTATCAAGCCGCAAAACAATAAAATTTAGTTATCAAATTATTGCAAAAATAGTTAATACAAAATTTTCAGATACCTTAATAAAATAATTGTTTTTAGATTAATAACTTAACAATAAAAAATAATTGTATAATTCATTATAATTTACAAGCCCACCATACTATATATGTATATATATATATATATATATATATGATCTCTACTGATCTTTTAACATTTAAAAAAAAAAAAATCAAATTGAAATCACATTTGCTATCAATTCTACATTAAATTTTTACAAAAATAAAAATAAAAATCAAAACATCATACTCTGTGTTCATAAATACTTTGAAATCAAATATTCCACCACAAATGCTTTGCATCAGTCATTCCTTTCGGCAAAGTTTCCTGGTAATATCACATACTCCACATGAAAGGAAACATGAAACCCAAAACTACAAAACCAAGTTCAACAACAACACAAAAAGATGAGAAACTTGCCATCTTGGTGCTACTCCCAGTTGATACGAAAGAGTAGTAACTGCAGGGGCGTTGCTGGCTGAAGCAAAGGTACACTTCATTCAACCATTCTCTTGCCTCCATCTCAATTTCATTCGCCTGATGGCACACAAACTCCTGTGTAGCTTCTTTAAAGAAGCACCCACATTAGTAATCTCATGTTTTTCCTTCCACAGCTCACACTACAAAAGCAAACAAAACCAAAGAACAAAACCAAAACTAAAAACACAAATACAACACAAAACCTAACACTGTTGTCGTAGCTACAGTGTCGGTACAGTCTTTCTGTTGTTTGATTGTGCTACAGCACAGACTAATCACATATAAGAAACACTATCAAGTGATCACACAACGAATCAGTTTGCAATATACCATTGAAGTCCCATGTGTCTTGGCCGTCCAACACCGAAAGCAGGAAGTGGGTCGGATACCAAGTGCCCTTCACATAGAGAATCAGGTGGCCGCATCCCTGGTGAGCTCCTTCCGGAAGCTCTAGCTTCGCATATGTCTCGCTTGCTCGCGGTGACAACTCCCCCAGCTCCTTCTCGTCCTCACAGGCGTACACATCCTGATCCATCCATGAGCCGTGCCAACTCATGGCAATCGCATGGTTTAAGCTTCCTGCTGCTTCTGCTCCTGCTCAGCCATGGAGTTGAATCGAATGTGTGAAGCCTAGTTTTCTCTTGCTCTTCATTGCGGTTTTCGCGCTCTCGACGTCTGTTTGATTTCATGGAAACCGTTTCATGTTTGGCGTCTACCCTGAGGGTGGAATCGTTTTTTTTTTTTTTTTTTTTTTTTTTTGGTTTGGTTTTGTTTTTCTCTTGAAACGGTTTTGCGTGGAATGATTGAGTGGTGGCTTGATTTGTCACTCACCTTGCTTTGTTCAGGTCACGTTTTGAAGCCGTTTCCGAGCTCGAGTTTTGTAAGGTACATTTCGCAACCAACAACTGCAAATGACCTGGCATTGATGTTCATATTGACAGCGGCGAAGCTGCGTCCAATCTGAAGCCTGGAAACCCCAGGAGTTGCTCACATGGATAACCAAACTTATGCTTCGAACCAGGTTCTAATTGTGGTTAAACACAACGCATTATTATCAAGGAAAAGGATTCGCGTTTTTTTGTAAAATTTTAAGACTCGATTGACAGAACACAAATATGCTGAGGTTGAAACTGATGTGTGAAATAAGACACCGTTGAAACAAACACTTAAGCAAGGACGTAATCCAGATAAGCAAACAGAGGAGGTCGAAAAGTTTCCCTGTAGAAGGATTGGTTGGAGCGCTCACGCCCTTTGAGATGCGAAGGGGCAAGTTGATGAAACCACTCTTTCTCCCTATCTCTCTCTCTCGACAGGCATCGATATTGAGTTTCAAACCCAATCAAGCTGGATCATAGAACTCCATTGCCAAGCCACCAACAAATCCAAAGAAGCCGATCTTTAAAGGAGGAGGTGTGACAGGAAGCAAGAGGCGAGCCATACACAATCCCATCCTGCCACCAAGTTTCCAAGGCATGGCAGGTGATAGTGCATGAACATTGTTCTTACCATGTCTGTCCATTCAACGCCATTGATCCATAGCCACAGAACGAAGCAATTCAATTCTAAAAAGTGGAAATCCTGCCCCTCACCACTAGGAACATCTATCCACAAAACATCTTCCTGACATTTTGTCTCAGTTGTGTGGAAGAGACCAGGCCTCAAAAGCCATTGGAATTGATGCCAAACTTATGCATTGGTTGTGTCAGTTTGTGTTTGTATCCATTGTAGCACTCTAGGAAAAAATTTCATATATATATATATATATTCTAGAGGAAACCCATTCAGCAAGGTAAATTATTGTTGGAATCATTTAGCTATTGAATAATTTGTTATTGAAGCATTTCACAATACACAACATTGGTTGTAGATTTCTATTTATACAACAAACATAGACATTTGTAACATATGTGGCTTAAAAAAGAGTGATGTAGAGTTGACTATGTATGAATACATGGTCATGAAGATGCATGCTAATTGTGTCTATAGTTTGCCCTTGTGCTTTATTGATTGTCATTATAAAAGTCAACTCAATCAAGAATTAATATTGTACAAGCATGAAAGAGTATCTATTTTCTTACAATGTAGTTGTACTTTGCAAAATATTTATTCTCTCATGTGCATTAGCTCTACTAAGGATCTAAATAACAATTAGCCATTACAAAGGCATATTGATGCATAGAGATTGCACAATAGTATTACCAAAATATCCACATTCAATACGGATCTATGAGATGACATATCTAATAAAGTAAAGGTATTGAGGAACTTTGTTCTATATATCATAGCTTATTCATCTTAAGGTGCAACAATTTCTATAGATAAAAATACATATTACTATAGAAAAATGTAATTGGCAATGATTATATTAATTTGATTAATATTAGAATTTATAGTTGTATATATATTTTGATTATCAATATAATTAGCTATATAAAAATATACAATTTAGTTTGGAAAAATTTAATCTATTAATATTTTTAGATTTTTGCATTGTATGATTTTAAGACATAAATCAACTTATGTGTTTGTATTTTTTAGATCATGATAATTTGCAAATTCTACACCATCACTAATGTATAAGATATGTTCTACAAAAAATTAAAAAAGAAGATTTAACATGAGTTGCATATTTTTATTGAATTAAAAAAGAAAAATTAGAGACCAAAATATTAATTGCTTGAAAAGGATTTCAATAATAGAAGCCTCTATGCCTTAAAATACAATTGGAAGATATTAACAAAAATCTCTACCAAATACAAGTATCTTTCAGCCAAGATTATATAAGAAGTTTGCATAAGGTTCTATAAATTTTGATCCACAACTTTGACACAATGACAATATTGTATAAGTGCTTGCTTCAAATAATAAACTTTGATGTACAAATGACATTAGCAATATCATTTGTATGCATAAAATTGTACATAGATTTATAATTAATATTAATTAAAATTTTGAAGATGGAATGTAATATTTTCTTAGTATCCAGTAGAAGGGCTAAAATTTTCTAAAGATGCAACTGCAATTGTAACTTCTTCATTTACTCTAATAGATACAAAGATTAAATTATATAAAAATATTTTTCTTAAACCACTAAGATCATTAAAAGAAAAAGAAAAAATCCATATTTTGAACAATATTTTTCATGGAAATAAACACTTCTATTTGTTCAACATTTAAATCAGATATATCTTTATCAAGTAATACTTATATATATTTGTAATCAAAAAACTACTTTGCATACAAATGTGGACTTTTATAGCCATTTTTATGGACATACATATTTATCTAGATAAGAAATCTTAGGTAAAAAGTGTCACAAACATATATTTATTATAATCATTGCTTAAATAATAAAAATAGGTAGAATTATATGAAAGTAGATTAATTTCATAATATCTTCTTAAAAAGCTTTCTAGAAGCTCTATAGATATTGCTTTGACATTACATGTATTTGTAGTTGATTGGTAGGTTAAAAACTTGATCAATAAGTTAATCACGTACTACTCATGTTAATAGCTTATAAAACAAGCTAATTATGTAGCATCCATGTAAAAAACTTGTTTTACAAATTAAGATATGTATCATGTAATGTCAACATGTTTTGGAGGTCCTAAAAATGTTACTATGTAGCTTTAAGATAGATGGAATATATAGAGGCAAAAGTGAAGCCTTCTTCACTCTTGTCAATTCTTTTCTTGTTTCTAATCTAGTTTTAAGAAGTCTCTAGTTTTCGTGTCTTTTAGCAATAGCAATCTCAATTTTTTTAATATATATACTTCTTTATTTTTATATTATCATACTTCTTTGAAATTTTTTTTTTTTTTTTTTTATTTTCTTTCATCAAGTTCTTGTGCTTGACAAATTGACAAGAATATAATTATATTATTAAAGCTTTATTTTTTCTTGATTAAGAGTGGATTATTTGTTTTTTTTTTTTATAAAACATAAGTGTATTAGAAGTTTTGGATTACCTTCTTCTAATTTGATATCATTTTTAATATTTTCTTTGTTCTCAATTTTATTTTTTTACTTGTCTTTAATGATATGAGATATTTTTTTTTCTTCTAAAGTATTATTATGATAGAATTTATTGAAATGAAAAGTGCAATGATATAAATGCAAGAACAATTGAAGAAGTTAAAGCTTATGATGCATCAACTCAATTTACCATTACAAGTAGAAACAAGAATAATAGAAAGTAAAGATATAGAGATGATTGGAGCTACTTCAACAACTGTATCAAATCATGATCCTTCTCATGTGGTAGAACACTATTCAAGTAGTAGAGAACCAAGAATTATCTTATTTGAGAAGTTTGATGGTATAAGATCAAAGTTTCAAAGATTCATCAATTAAGTACAATTGACAATTGAACTTCAATTCCAAAGCTATCTAACTTTAGGATCATAAATCAAGTTTATTGAAACACTACTTTTCAATTTTATGTTATCATGATTTTTATCTTTTTTTGAGCAACATGATTCAATATTAGATAATTTAAAAGCTTTCTTGATGGAATTTTGATATATGTATTGAAAACATTATGTAATTTGTATTGCAATAAAGAAGATCTATATTTTGAGACAAATAAATCAATTTATAATATTACATGCTTCATAATTTTAATAACTTGTGATTGATATCAAGTGAGATGATGTTGCACTTATAAGTCAATTTTTTTATGGATTACAATATGATGTAAAAAAATTAATTCTCAATTTATATGATCTTCAAAAATTGAATCAAGTAATTCATTTTATTGTACAATGTGATAATCAATTTTTTGAATTTTGGTCTAAGAATTACATAAGTATGCCACAATGTTATTATAATTCAATGGCAATACCAATATCTTTTCAACACATACCTTTGAAAGTAGAGGATATGCAAATTGATGCATTATATTTCAAACCTCTTATTAATTAAGAAAAAACTTATTGTTGTCAAATAAATTTATGTTTATATTATAAAAAATTAAAATATACTTTTCAACATCGTCTAAAGAAGCAACGTAATTATAAAATAAGAAATATAATTATTAAAGAAAATCATATGTTGAAAAACGAGTTTGTGGAATTACAATTAGAATCCTAGAATTAGAACCTTATACAATACTTAATGAAGGTGATATTTTCTTTTTAGAACTCTCTCTTTGTTTTACAATAGATATTAATTTAGGATCTAAAAATCTTAAAACCTATGTCTTATTAGATTTAAGAATCTTAGCTTGTTTTTTAGATGAAGAGTTTTTAAAAGACATAATATACCTTTAATAAAGGAAACAAAATCTATTTATGTAAAAATCATAGATAGTCATTTGTTATCCTCTAGAGATATTATTTATAAAATATTTCTTCCAAAAGTAATAAATAATGGTCATATAAGCTTTGTGGAATTTAATATCATTAGAATTTATTTTAATCTAATCACTTTAGATTTATTATGGTTAAAAAAATATAATTCTTAAAAAAATTGGATTTCTTGAAATCCTAATTTTTTTGAAATATAACTAAGAGTATAATTAATCAAATAAAAAGTCATAAGTCTAATAAAAACAAACATGTATTTATAGGTACAAGAATTTTTTTTGCATGCTGCAAAAGAAAGATCACCTTATGTCATTTATGCCACACTTGTTTCTAATAGTAGAAAGACTTCAAATGGCATTATTAACCAATATCAAGATTTTTAAGATGTACATGAGAAGATGAATGTAGATACTCTTCCGGAACATCATTTCTATGATTGCTCAATTGACCTATAAGAAAAAACTCAACTGCCATTTGGATTAAACTACAACTTATTGTAAAATAAGTTGGCTAAATTTAAAGAGTATATTAAAGAAAATCTACCCAAGAACTTCATATTCTATTCTAAATTTCTAGTAAGAGCTTCAATTTTAATTATGAAGAAAAAAGATGAATTATTCCAAATATATTTTAATTATTGAGGATTTAATAAGATCATCATGAAGAATAAGTATCCATTACCATTAATATTTGAATTTTTTGATGAATTGAATTAAGCTAAGATCTATACAAAAATAATTCTACAAGGGACATACAATTTGGTATGCATAAAAAAAATGAATGAAAGATTATGTTTTGCACTAGATACAGATATTTTGAATATAATGTGATGCCTTTTGAACTTACAAATATATCAGTAGCTTTTCAACATCTAATAAATGATATCTTTTGAGAGTTTTTAGATGATTTTGTTGTTTATTATCTAAATAATATCTTAATCTATTATGAAAATATTAAAAAATATGAACTTCATATTTGTTGTGTGTTACAAAAATTAAGAGATATGAAACTCTATGCTAAAATAAAAAAGTATATATTTAACACTACTTAAGTTGATTTTTTAGGATACATCGTTTTAAATGATAGACTTATGATGGATCCTAAAAAAATTCAAACTATTATAGATTGGAAGATTTTAAAAATGATAAGAAATGTCTTATATTTTTTAGAATTTATCAATTACTATTAGATCTTCATAAAAGTCTTCTTTCAAATTGATGTTCTACTTATATGTTTAACTTGTAAGGACAAACTTTAATGAAATGAAGAAATAGAAGTAGAGTTTGAAGCTTTGAAGATAGCCTTTGTTTATACACCAATCTTATATTATATCATCTTTTGTAGGCCATTTTTTTATGGAAATAGATGCATTAGATTTTGTTTTGAGTGCCATATTGTTAAAAATCGAAATAAATGATAAACTTCATGTAGTAGCTTTTTATTCCAAATTTTTTTCAGCAATCAAGATCAACTACAAGATCCATAA